TACTTGGTCTGCTAGGTTGAATGGTCTCCATTTTTGCGCCGAATATCATGCAGCATAGTTCTGTTTATTCCGTAATTGTCATGCCTTTGTTTCCCTTCTGGTGGTTACTTGCAGTCCCCCATGCTGCGCTACTGGATGTTCGCACCCACGATCCATCACCAACCACGTATCGAGTGCAATTCTCGACGCTCTCTCAAATTGTAATCCGAAGTGCGAAACCATGGTGCTTGACTGCATACTGGTTCGATCAGTGAGTAGCACTTCAGGTAGTGCCTCTTCCCATGCCAACTTTGGGCAGTTCATCCATGTCTTCATCGTCCGGTTAAACCGCTGTCATCCCATTGGTTTGAGGGGATACGGTGAAGTGCGCCGTCTCTGGATGCTCCATTTCGCTATTACTGCTTGGAACGCTTTTGATTTAAAGCACGGACCATAGTTAGTGACATCGCAATGCGGAATTCCGTACCGCGCCGGTACATTGAATTCGAACCTCTATGCCACGGTTTCGTCTATCTGGTCTTTAATAGATACGGTCTCGACCCACTGGGTGAAATGATCAATCATCACAAAGATGTGAGTGTTACCTGATCGCCTCAGCTGCAACAATTCGAATACATCCAGCCCCCAGCACTGTAGCGTTTTGTTAACTTCAATCGACTGCAGTGGCGGTCTGGGCGCATCCGCCTCCAGGCTAGTTTGACAGTTTGGGTAACTCCGAATATATACCGTTACGTCCCTCCTCATGTTTGGCCAAAATACTCGCCTCTGTAGCAAGACAAAAACTCTCTCCCATCCCATGCGTGCATTACCATAAACCATTCGAATTACCCGTTTCCATTGATCTAATGGGATAAAGAGCAGTTTCTTTCCGTTTGTTGCCAACAGCAAATTGCCATTTACTGTGTACAGCCGGTCTCAGATCTTATCGAGTTCCTTCACCTTATCCCATGTTGTATCCCGCTTGGTTCCCATTTGTAAATGACTGCACAGCGATTCCACCAGTTGGTTCTTCCTTTGTATGTCGAGTAGGTAGCTCTCCTCCGCTGTGACCACACACACCGGTATCGCCGTGTCTGGTATGATGTCGTCCAACGACGGCCGCGACAGCATGTCAAGTAGTACGTTCTGCGTCCCGTCTACGTGCCCGATGGTGAAGGTAAATCCTTGGAGTCGATATGCCCATCGCACAAGATGTCCTCGCAGATCTTTCGTTGTCATCAACCATGACAGCGGTTTGTGGTCCGTCATAACATGGAACTCATTCGCCAATAGGCAGGTTCTCCACTTATCTAAGGCTCGGACGATAGCAAGGCATTCCTTCTCCGTTGTGGAGTATTCCTGCTCGGCACTCATCAGCACTCTACTGGCATATTCTACTACACCGGATGGTTGGAGCAGCACTGCACCGATTGCGATGTTGCTAGCATCGACTGCCACCGTCAACCTTCTCTGGACTGGATATCCGTAAGCACTGGGGATTCTGCCACGCATGCCTTTAGATGGTTGAAAGCCTCCTTTACATCGGTTGGCCACACGAATGGCAGGTATTTGTGCAACAGCTTCAATAATGGGTCGATGCTTTTCGCAAAAGGAGGGAGGGATTTCGAATCGTAGGCCACTGCTTCGAGGAAGGAACGAAGCAAACGTTTGGACTTTGGGATAGGAAAACTCAGGATCATCTCCTGACAGTGGCCGTATTTGACGGTTCCCCATGATGTGACCCAAGCATACAATCGACCTTTGGGCTATTTGTGTTTTCTTGCGACAACTTCAACCCGACCTACTCCAATCTTTGCAGTACGGCCGCGAGTCTGCTATTATGATCGTCTTCTGTCGCGGGGAATATAACGATGTCGTCTCCGTAAACCACCACACCTTGGTTTTCCAGTATCATTAGTAGCAGTCGTATAAACGTGGCGGGGCGTTGCAGAGTCCAAATGGCATCCTCAAAAATTCGTGCTGCTGACTGTTCAGACTAAAAGCTGTTTTGTGCCGATACTCCTCCACAATCGATAGCTGCCACTATCCTGACCGGAGGTCATTCAATGAGATCCATTTCGCATTATGAAGATTGGAAAACATTTCCTCATCCGTGGCATGTCGAACGCATCTTTCACCGTCACTTTGTTCAGTTCCCTGAAATCAATGCAGAACAAGTAGGTACCCTCAGCTTTTCTCGTCAGCAACACTGGTGAGGAATACGGGCTGTTCGCACGCCTGATAATCCCTTTCGCCTCCATCTCTGCAACCTGTTTCTGTGCCTCAGATAGGATTTTTAGTGGTATTCACCGGAATATTGGTTTGCATCGATACCCTGGGACTAGCGGTATCCGGTGTTCCATCCAGTTACAGAACCCGTATTCGTCATTTGCGTCGGTGAACAAATACACATGCCTCTCCAACTTATCCCTTATTACACGATTTGGGCCATCAGGCAGAAGATTTATGGCACACACTCGGCTGATTCTTCCTGTGCTAATGCTGATTGTCTCGTTGACCAGGATTATCACATCCTTTACCAAATCGATTCTAGCGCATAGTCGCTTGAGGATATCGTTGCCGAGTATCGTTACCGTTGACCCATCTACAAGGAACATCGAATGGCTAATGCATGTTTCTCCTATCTTCAATTGCAACTGTTGTACACCTGTTACGTTTAACTGGTGGACCCCGACCGTCTGCATTAAGACCCAGGATAGATCTAATGTAACATCATGGAATTTTTTCGTAATTGACACTCCTTCCCCTGTATCTACCTCCGCAAGGACTGGCACCCCTTCAGTAGGGACCTCCAGAACTGGCACTCTCCACTTACCGGGTATGAATAAAGAAAGACAGGGAAAAAGTATTTCTTCGGCACAGTATCTGACCAGAAAGCTTATGAGGTTGCACCGAAAACAGCGGCTGCCATGTTGGTTTCTTTATTCCTTATGTTGTGCATCCATCCTCAGCATTAGCATATGCACCATCTCCGTCAATTGTTCAACCTTACGTCCCATTTCCAACGGATGAATTCTTCTCGTGGTCACTGGTTCCAAAAGATTCTGAGCCGCCGTCACGATCTCTTCTGTCTTGGTCACTCCAAACATTGATGCCGACAAAGTTCCTTAAACGCCATGCTTACAATCTGTTGGATGCTGTTCAATCCTGAATACGTGAGTTGGAACAACTGTGTGCACTTTACTAACCAACTTTTAAAGAGCTTACTACGGCCTAGCGTGAATCATTTAAGCTATACGTGCAACGGGTGTGCACAAATGTACAAGAAAAAAGTATAAAAAGCTCCTAAAATGCTTACGTCCAACGCAACCGGAACGTAAATTCCCACCCAATCCAAAGAGTTGTGGGCATAACCTGTCCAGAAAAGCGTTTGAACCAACTTCAGCTTGAGGCATTATGCTTCGGAGCAAAATTCTGTCCTACCCAACCGGTCAGTGGACAAGTCCAAATAGGAACACCGGTTGGAAACTTAATACACCAACTAGTTTACATAACACCTACTTCTCCTCTAACCAGAGACACTTTCAAAACCACCTTAGTACATCTCCGTCAACAGTATCCACGCTGCGAGAAGAGATCATCAAGCATTCTGTCCAAGAAGCATCGAGAAGCAATCAAAGAATTGAGGTCAAACCCCGATGTTATTCTTTCTATAGCTGATAAAAGATCGGGATGGGTGTTAATGGACAAACCAGATTACATTTCAAAATTACAAGTTATCTTGCAAGATTCGAGTAAATTCTTGCGTGACACAACCCAGAAGGACAAGACAGCAGACGATGAAGCAAACATTATAAAGATCTTGAAAGAATTAAAACAGATGTACTTGATAACCGAGGTTCAGCTTCAGCCGTTAACGCCAGTTGGCTCCCAACTTCCTCGGCTCTACGGATTGCTTAAAGTATACAAACCTCAGGTCCCTTTACGTCCAATAACTGACATGTCCAATTCTGCATACCACTTAGTTACGAAATGCATTGTGCAATTATTGGAAGCTGCACCTAAGACACTCTCAATCCATTCTCTGAAGGATTCGTTCGAATTCGTTGCCAAAGTCAAAGACCTGAAGTTAAACAGTAAACTCAGGAACCGGATGCCGTCAACCATGTATGTAGCTGTTTTGCTTAGATCTGTAAATGTGCCGCTACAATTTTGTTTGCTCTCCTCGGCAATGTAAGAAGAGATGATTGACGTCGATGTATTGGATATACTTATCCGATAAGCATGAGGAAGCGAGTTTAGCATTGAGGAGTCACAACCGTCATGTCGCAGTGTTGCGGAGCAGACATCTGTGGTTTTTATAGGGAGAACTCTTGCCAAGCGAAAACCCACCACCTCTTGGAACATCACTGACGAACTGTCTGCTGATATGGGGTAAATTTGAACACCTCAGCTGCCAGCACGAGGTTGTTTGACTAGCCAAGTTTGGAAAGCCTAACTTTGCACTGAAAGGTACAAATTTGCGGAGCAAAGACAAGGGAAAACAAAACTACGTAATTATTCTGCCAATATAATACAAAAGTGTGTGCTATAAATAAGCATAGACTGTATAAAAGACCATGCTCTGCATTTATTTTTGACGGCTGACTGAATTACAAAAGGACCAGGCAAAAATCGCAAGAAAACCTCCATTGGTGATGATATCAGTAGCCGCTATGTTACTGATGTCACACGAAGGATTGCAGCCAGTTTGACTTTCATTATCTAGCTTGCTGTAAATCTAAATGTTTGTATCACATGACTATTTTAGTGTACAGCCAGTCGCTGACTTCATCAGTGAGCTGGTGATAATTCTATTCTTGAATGGTTGCGTGTATATCAGGAAGTGACACATCAAGTGCCGATTCAGTAGATGTCCGAACAGTTGCCAAGAGCAGTTTACCAACTCGGATGCGACACACACCCTTAGTACAACCGAATTTCCTTTATTTTCAATATATGTTTGAAAATGAGTCAGTTTGCACAGTTCTATTGCTGGAATGTTTTTCAATCTCTGGCAGTTCGCCCAACTTTCGTGGAAAAACCTGAGGACATCACGGTGCCGGTGAATGGTTCAGTGACTTTTCGCTGTACCGCCAAGGGGACCCCGACACCACAGATTAGATGGACTGTCAATGGAGAAGACCCGGCTGGTTACATCGACGGTGTTCGGAAGACTCTGAGTGGCAGCGTAAGTTAATTTGTACCTAGTATATCCGAAGGGACACTGTAACCGGCAAGTTGACAATTTGTGATTGTTCACTATTTTGTGTTGCAATATTTGCCTTCATTCTGCTCGCTGTTACTCGATCATCCAGCGATATATGTCAAGTTTCGGTTTTAATTGTCCACAATATACCATTAAGCATTGACCACTGGAACATGGGGTTACAACCCTTAAATCGTGCACTGTTTCAGTTCAGATCAGGATTATTAATCGGCTGCGCAAGCACGGCCGGAATACGGTGGACAATTGGGCATGCGTAGCACTTCCAAGATTATATATATATATATATATATATATATATGTAAGCTAAATATCCGGATAAGCTGAAAGTTGAGGATTTTAATGTTAGTCTGTATGGCAAACAACACATTTGCACCATGTGTCACGCCTGTGCAGACCTTCTTCCCAGCAATACCCTTATTGTTCCTCTGCGGTCACTTTCACCACATTTATCTCGGTGTCAACAACGATCATCCATTTTATCGAACACTAATGTGCACTTTACCCCGAGTCGATTGTGTGGCATTTATGCGTCTATTGCGCCCTCAGTCAGGAGGAACCTTTTACCCCTGCCCCAGGCGGAAAAAGTATCTTATATTACCGTATTTGAACTGAGGAATTTCGGACAATTTTCCATGTCTATAGTGGAGGAGGGGGGTCGGCTTATACAAAGGTTATGGGCAATTTGAAAAAATCACATGCAAAATCCACCTAGATATTCGCTGCACACCTATGCCCCTATCTTGCCGTTAGCACTACTCGCTAGTGACAGACGGTATCCTAGGCGGGGATTTGAAGCGCCTATAGGCAGATACATTAGTTTGTGTCGAAAAGTATCGGTACATTGCACAGTTGACTTGCGCGACGGGATGGCAGTAACAAAAAAATTCTGATCATATAGAATCGAACACCATCAACCACAATCACATTGGAAAAAGACAAGACAGAACTGGTAACTTTTATAGACTCACATATCCGGACGTTGCACAATAGTACTAAAATTATTCGAATCCTTCGAAACTAGAATCGGAGTTAGTCGGCCGGTGGCCGAGTGGTCTGCACCATTAACTGCGATCAAAACGCATTAGGTCGCCGAAACTGACCAATAGTAAAGCAGATTTCGCTTAAGCACACCTAAGTAAGAGCAGATCGTGATGAAGTCAACATCGTGAGAAACAAGTTCCTTTCTCTTTTTGCTGAATTGGGGGGGACGGCTAATATACGGACTTACGATTTTTGGCACATTTGACGTTGCAAAGTCATACTGTCGGCTTAGATACGCATCGGCTTGTATACGGTAATACACAATAGTTGTCACTATGCTGGTTCCCAGCACCTACTATTCTCAACTTAAAAGTCGTGCAGCAGAACAGTGTACAGAAAACCAACTTCGACTGAACCGTACACCAAATTCTATAGTACGGTACCACTACAGTACAAATGAAATCTAGTCTGCAACCTTGCCTACTGGGCACACAGAATTTCCACACTGGATACCATCACCAAGGAATTGTAGAGAATCAGTGACACTTTAAGAGTTAATGGGTATCCAGATGAATTCATCCTGAAACATTTGTAAGAACACAAGACACCATCACTGAGGTGGCGTGCACCCACGAAAGAACTCATTGTATCTTTTCGTTTCAAAGGCGAAAATCCGGCTGATGCCCTGTCCAAACGCTTGAAAGACGCAGTTGAAAAGACCAGTTTCGCAGCTCGTCTACGCATACTATACTACACCAAGCCCTTACTCGCAAAATGTTTGAAAGTTAGGCTACCTCCGATGACTAGAACAATGCTTGATTATCAGTACTCGTGCTCCTGTGGTGCACCTTACGTGGGTCGTACTACGAGGTGCCTATATCATAGGATTCGCGAACGCATTCCGAAGGGGTATTACAGAGGCAAAGCAAGGTCTTGCAATAGCTCCATCTTGTCGCACCTCTTAGAGTGCGATCACACAGGAACGGAAAAGGATTTCAGTGTCATTTACACTATCGCTGAGCGCTTCTTGCGCGGATTCCGGAAGCATCTCCTATCCATGGCGGAGACTATCTATATCTGCCACCTCAAGCCGGAGTTATGCATACTAAAACAGTTTCGTACATCCTCTACTACCGTTGCCTACAACTTCCTTTGGTTTGTGTACAAGTTGATCTTTGTTTAGGAAAATGATTTGCCCATGATGCATAATCTGTCACCTTCAGTGACCACATGGTCTATTGGTTCGTTTCCGTTGGAATCAAGCACTCTCACCAATATGTCGCCTATCCGGCACATTCAGCATATAATGGCCATCATGTAAACTTTGAATCTGATGTGAGTTACCGAAAAGAATTCTTAACTCAGAATCTGCCTCCTTTGATACATTCTATCAAATGGGACTCTTTGAATGGCTGAAGATTGGCATCCCCCGTGATTCAGGCACGAACGAAGTTGGCCATGGAGTATTATTAAGAGACAGAGAGAGCGAAAGTAACGCATAAGACATAATATAATAATAATAATAATAATAATAATAATAATAATAATAATAATGTGTCAGCTGTACGCCGTTACGGCGCCTTGCTGCCGTGCAATCACCACCAGTCGCATGCACGCTGAGTATACCGTGAGGATACCCACCTCTATGCGGATTCGAACCAGCGCCGCAAGATTACGAGACAAGCTCGTTACCTCTAGACTACGGGCCGACATAAGACCAACTACTGTAGATGCGAACTCCGTGATCTAAATGACCGAGATTTACCTCAGAGTAAATTGCTGGCCACGATGAGGTTGCGTGTCGCGATCCAAACACATAACAGATAAGTCAGAAACTCAACGTTGCAATTGGTTGCACACATACGGATGGTGACCCAGTAGAATAGGCACACATAACCACGGGATCTCTGCAAATTTACACCGGCAATCACTGAGAGGCCTACTTACAATCCGATGGAGCAATGGGTTATAATGGATAAAAAAGTAGATTCTTGTCAAGTCACGTAGGATGGTTAGAGTGGAATTTACAAGGTGGAACTGGCTAGATAAAAGAAGGCGCACGATGTGTGACTTATCTGAAGGTTCTAGTAGCAAAGTAGTGGATATTTCTGCCTGGTGTTTAACGGGAGTCCCGTACAGTCCGTCGTTTGTTCTGCGCTTATGACCTCATTTAGTGGTTGTGCGCTATATAACGTAGTGTAAATGTGCAAGTACATCGTGAAATCATTTATTGTATAGTGATTAATTACAAGTATTGGAAAGGGATTTTCGAGGCTGTGACAATCCGAGGAAAAAGATACTAAGGAGACATTTCATTCGGCTGTAATACGTGTCCGGCTGGGAATCATGGCCCCTCAGAGACGTGTTCTGCTGAATTTCCAAAGCTCCTGGCAAATGTATTTGGAGATTCTTATATCTGATACACTAGTATCAGATGCTGTTTTCACCAAACCCAGTACAGATTCGCAATACCCATTCTAAGTCCTTTTGATTCTGACGATGCGTGACGGATAGGACTGAGCCCAATATTCTGTGTGAGGTCGCACGAAAGCTGAAAGTGTTTAAGCGACAAATCAGCTGTTAGTGTCCTGAAAGAACCTTTGATAGCCGTCTTCCTCCAGCTGTGTCCAGAGTGAGGAATGAAGCAGTGGATCACACTTCATACATTTCATGGTGGAGTTTATCTTTTTCACACATTTCCTCCTACGGCTTCTGCTAACCTTTAGCTTGTTTTCTTGATCATACCATCTTCTCATTAATTCACATTTGTCGGTCGCCGTGCCTAGATTTCGTCGGCATAAGGTATGAAGTTCGCAATGATTAGACGCGTTAGATTCTAAGCATATATATGGCACAAACATAATTCTAATAGTGAACATTGTGTTGGAGTACCTTCAGCTTTGATAGTCTGTACCTTTGGTGACGTTTAAAATGCACCTTTCCCTCGTTGCATTCATTTTAACATGTTGCATCCTCTTCGTTGTATTGCATTTTCTGTTTACAGGTTATGCGGCTGTACAACTTAACTGTGAAAGATACGGCCGTTATTCAGTGTAATGCATCAAACGCATTTGGCTATGACCTTGTGAATGCTTATGTCAACGTAATGCGGGAGCCACCGTACTTCATCAAGCCACCTCAATCAGAACTGCGCGTGGTCGACGGGCACGAAGTGACACTTAACTGCCAAACATTTTCAGCCCCGAAGGCAGTGATTTCTTGGAGCAAGGATGGTAGGCCGATCAACGGTGGACGTTACAGGAGTTTACCGAATGGTGATTTGCGAATAGCGGTGAGTAATGTAGTGTGACACATTCGGCATCGGCTCGATAATGCTATCTACTTTATCGTGCCACATGACAAGTGCCGGAAAACTACCAAGGTAGGATGCAGAGGATTGTTCTCTCCATCCATTTTGCCACACGCACGTTAAGGACTTGAACACCGGCGGGCGTTTACTGAGGGCGCATCTGAATATGAGCAGCGTTCCCCAATATCTTAATGGGTGTACATTTTGCTCTGGGTAATCTGTTTACTACTTGCGCATGAGTGTTCGTTCGAAACTCATGAAACAATGAAAATTGTGGAAATAAAGTGAAAACATTGATATCTTGGAATGACTCATCTTCAGTACATATGCTGTTTCACATATGCATAGACCCAATCGCCAGACAGTGGCCCACGGGGCTAGCAGAGGCTGATTTCGCGACCTCCGAAGGCCGAACCTGTAAAGAAAGATCTATATAGAGATTCTGATATACCGATGTACTCGTTAGACATTGGAACAAAATGAACTTGAGGAATGTGATCATTAGAAGGGGAGTGCGAATAATTCCCAAACCAGACCACTAAATTGGTGTAAATCACCCGAGTCACCAACCGTGAACAGAAAGAATGAAGTCGGATATCAGATGCGTGAACTACTCTAAATACCGGCCAGTCTGAGGAGCGTCGCGGATGGGCCAAATGTCGAAGAGGTAAAGCAACCCCCACATTCCCATCACTGGCAGTGATTAGCTTGTACTGACTTCGTGCCGGGAACCGTTGGTTCACTTTACCTGACCCAGCTTTAGTGTCAAAAAAAACGATATGTTAGCTACCATGTATACCAGCCTGATATTTTCAAATCTTCTGAAGTCATTAAACAGAAACTCCTTTCCTTTGTTCCTATGTACAGGTCACCCATCTTGTAGTTGAGTTTACACAGAAGCTATAAACTAGCTTGAAGGTCGTCTGGGTTTCACTTAACTGCGAGTTGTGGAGCTAACTAGCCACTTCCATTTGAAAAATCGTCACCTTCCATAAGTGTAGTAGACATAATCTTCATAGGGACAAACTCGTGTGATGTATCTTTTTCGTCATTTGTCACTTTTAACCAAGAACAATGTAATGCCTAACCTTACTTTGATGCTGTCTTTGTTAACCTAGGCTGCGGCTAACACTGATTCGGGGATATACGAGTGTACTGCGACGAATCCGTTTGGTAGCCGGAAAGCTTCCGGTCGTTTACTCGTTCGCCGCCGGACACGTATTGTGTTGGCTCCAATTGACACTCAAGTCTACGAGAACCAGGTAGTCAAGTTTGTTTGTACTGCGGAAACAGACCCAGTGGAGGCGGAAAATTTAAAAATAACATGGTACAAAGATAACAACTTGATTATGCCTGATGTGACACCTCGAATACAACCGGTGTGGTTCGATTATTCTCTAGTACTGAGTGGTGCTCAGCCTAGAGACACGGGGCAGTATCGATGCAATGCAAGCAATGGGCTGGATTTTGCGGTCGCATCTGCCTCCTTACTGGTTCAAGGTGAGCCTCAGTTTTGCTCATGTAAAATCCGTATACTATTGTTCATTAACATGCTGTGTTTTTGGTGACACCAGAATACTAACCATCGACGACTTGAATTGGACAACTAATAACTGGCGCGCCCAGTGTGGTTCGCATGAGGGGTAGGGGTGAGCACGGACGGATGCTGGCAAGAGCAAGACACGTAGTTTCTCGTTAAAGAATACAGAACACCAGACAAGAAATGTCGCACGGTAAAACATGTGGACGATCGCAGTATAATAGCATAAACAACATTTGTTGTTGTATGAGTCTACAAATGCAATATTTTCACGTTCACCAAGGCGTCTGAACGCTTAGGTCAACAATCCCCAAGCTGGGAATTGCTGCTTACTCACCAACATCACAGTTGGTGTACAGGACTTGACGCATCCACAGTTTTTACGGTTGTGACCGACATCAACCGTACTCCGGTTACATGTTTTGGACAGTTGTTGTTATGAGGTTGCGTACGGGAGATAAATTTCTGTGTGACAAAACCAAATTCCCTGTACCCGTTTTGCTACCGTTTGTTATTTGCCATTTGGTTAAACACTCCATTGCTGTAATCCGAGTGGTAAATGCACCTCGCTAATAATGGACGTTCAACTCATGTGTCAGTTTCAGTAGCATCATTTCCAAGGATAGTTTCATTGATCGCCATTCCCATAAATTTTGCTTTGGTTATGTTAAGCGAATGTTTAGTTGACATACCTTTGTTTATAGTGGTTTTTAATTTCTGTACTTACATTTCGTCCTATTGTTTCTGTTGTGAGCTTTGTTTAAAAGCGCCATTTCGTTATTCTGATTGGCCAGCACCCGTCGATGTGAATGGCTGTTCACTTTACCCTTTGGGTCTCACAATCTTTCTTTCCAAAAACATATTCGAATCGTTCTTCATTTCACGGCTCCTCATTCGCCTGTGGCATTTAACGTTTTCTCTTTTTTGGTTGTATCGATAATATTGTAGTAGTTTCCTTTCAAAACGTTTTCAAAACTATACAAGTCCGTGTATTAAATGCGTACAAGTTTTTCCCCGATCGTCACTGGAGTTCTCCTTGTGGTCGTGGAGTGAACGCATCGTTTGCAACACATTAGTTATAAGGGTTTATATCATGTATGCTTATGGGTCAGTGAAACAGGAAAACAGCTGACAAGAACAGCAAGGAAAAAGCACGAGCTGAACTGATTTGCACATCATAAAATTACAACCAGAAATAGCACGAGGTTTCAAGGCTGACATTCGAAAGTGTAACTTAGCTTTATGACTCTTCACTTTGTGCTTCCACTAAGTTTCAGTAGATGACGATAGCCGTTGTTGGAATATTACCAAAGATGACACCAACGCTAATCACCCGGCAACAATCGATAAGGTTCACCTTGCCCATCCAGGACTTTCAGCCTTAAAGGAGGAGCAGGACGAAAGAATCACTTAACATTCTTAAATGCCCTTTGTTGTGCAGATCTTGAATACTGAATACTGAATACTGGTTCGAAGCAGCGAGTAGAGCTTTCTCTGTGTAGCTGCATCATTCGTCGCTCTTGGACATATACTCGTTATGTTCTGTTCCGCTCTGTATATTTTGCGTCTGCAAAGTGTTTGTCAAGGAGCTTCTTAAATTCCGACACTGAGTTCGCCTCTACTATGTGCTGCGGCAGGTCGTTCCAGACATTCACCACTCTGCGTTCGAAACATAGTTGGTGAGCGACCCGCTTCAACTCCGGTACGATAAGTTTATACCGGTGTCCTCGCGTGCAGCTTGGTGTGCGCAGATGAAGCAGTTGTCTCAACATGGGGTAATCACTCAGATGTAATATCCGGTGCGTCATGATGAGGTCAACCCTCAGTCGACGATAAGCTAGGGTGTACAGCTCTAGTTTCTTATATCGGTCTTCGTATGACACACCTCGTAGGTTGGGAATCAGCCTGGTGGCTACATGCTGCACTCGCTCAAGCTTTTCTACCTCGCTCTGGGTGATGGGACAATACGCGGGAGAGCCGTACTCCAGCATTGGTCGTATTATCGAGACGAAGAGGCGATTGGCAATCTCTTCGGACCAAGTGCTGAAGCTGCGCCTGAGGGCCCAAAGCATCCGAAGGCTGTTTTGGTACAGCCTATTCGTGGTGTCAATGGGCTTTAGGTCGCAGCGTGAGAGTACACCGAGGTCGCGCACGAAAGGCGAGGGATGCAACGGTTGAACAGCCACTATGTAGGTTTGGCTGTGCTCACACTTACCTAGCCTCATGAATTGCGACTTGGCAGGGTTGATCGGAAGGTTGACCTCTGCAGACCACGTTTAGAGGCGGTTGAAGTCCTGCTGAAGTAAATCACAATCATTGAGTGTGCGGATTACTCTCCACACCTTCAAGTTATCTGCGAACAATGCACAAGGTGATTGGAGTAGCTGTGACACATCGTTTACATGGATCAGAAACAAAATCGGCCCCAGTACAGTGCTCTGGAGCACGCCGCTGCTCGATGCATACCAGTCCGTTAGATGGTTGTCCACCTGGACCCTCCACTTTCGATCAACAAGACAATTCCTGATCCATTGCTGCACCGAATCACCAACACTGCACATCCTCAGGCTGTCAAGGAGCACTGCATGGTTAACCTTGTCAAAAGCCTTACTGAAGTCAATGTAAATGACGTCGACCGATTGGCCTTGGTTCAGCGCTTGTAACCATTCGTGCCTCGTCAACATTAGGTTGGTGATGCACGAGCGACCTTTCGTGAAACCATGCTGTGCGGAGGTCAACAGGTTTTTCGACTGGAGAAGCTGCAGAAGGCTCTTCTTCACGATCTTCTCGAGCGTCTTTGCCAAAACAGCGGTCAGGCAGATCGGCCGGTAGTTATCCACTTTGCTTGGGTTACCACCTTTCGGTATGGGCTTTACGACTGAGCATTTCCAGTCGTCCGGTAACAGTCCAGTGGATAGTGACCTGTTAAACAGTTCAGTTACAGAAGGCACGATAATGATGCAGTACGACCAAGCTTCTGCCTCGGTCGTTACGCATTTTGAGCATGTTTACATGCTCCCACTCCTACCTTTCAAGTACCCTTGAAAAAGTGAAAGAGACGAACTACATGGACGCCCTTAGTTAGAAACTACAGTACTGATTAGGTTTGGCGTCGCTGATCCGATTTTCAGAGGTCTCAGCATTAATTGGATAAGATTAGGTTAGCCATCACTGGATACCAAATACTGCATTTTGTCTTCTTAAGGTGCACCGGAACAAGCCATTCGAGTGCAAGTCAACTGCGTCGAATTCATAAATGAGGAGCTGGCTTTGGTTTCCTGGTACCCGGGATCCGACAATTATTCGCCTATCATGGAGTATATCGTGGAATATTCAACACAATACGAACGGGAAACCTGGTATCCTGCGGAAATATTCAACTACACTGGCTTGGTCCAAAGCACTTCGACTAAGGTTGGTTGCCCCACCACGCACGCACCCGTGACCTTCACTATGCCATGAAATATTTTGTTCAATTGTTTGTCGGTAATGACTTAACCTAGCAAGTTCCTCTTTCTGACCTTCCAAGGTACTCCTCCGACCGGCCATTTTGTACTGGTTCCGCGTTCGAACAAGAAATAGAGTTGGCACATCCCTACCAAGCTCACCCACAACGACTGAATGCGGTATACCTCCGCGAGTCCCGGAAGTTAATCCAAGGGAACTGTACGTTTACGGATCCATGAGAAACAACATGATCATACGTTGGACGGTGAGTGACACTAATCGGTTCCAGTGATGTACTAACTTGCCGCTGATATGCAACTGACTTGGAGAGCATCCCGCAGTCTTTACAGGGAGCCTTTCCATCTTCGTTTTTAGACACTGCCCTACATTGAGCACTACGGAAGCAATCTTGGCTATGAACTAACTATTGCCTGCCTAAACTGTGATATTATTCCAAAATCCGCTATCAACCACACTGTCATTGGTGATTGGCGAACCGATCGAATCACACTAACTTCGTTTCGCGTGGGCAGAACTATCTATGAACTGGAGACTTTTAAACAATTCAGAGTGAGTTGGCCAAGGAAGTTTTGCAGTTGTTGATGATTCACTTGTATGAACACCGAGTTGAAATTATCGTACAGTAGTGCTATACCGAGGTTACAAGTTTGAGATTCAGGAAACGTTGCAAAATTCGAACACAAGAAATTGGACCTGCTTTTGCTGTACTCTGATGGAATAATGATATTTATGGGTACGCAAGCCAATACTTAAATACTACCGTGAGATTGTTAGTGTTGGAATACAAAATCAATGGATTTACTAGCTTTCATACGAGCAAGTGGGCGAAAAGTATCTGCTATACATTACTTTATGGGTTATCATATTCAGCATCTTCTTGTGTAGACTCACATGCACTCAACATCTGCACTAAGTTCCATGTATCGGTGTGAATAATCATTCCAGCAGTGGCGGCTCACAGAGTGATACTCTATGGAATCACCATAGTTGGCCAACACGTTTGGAATTAATAATACTATCTAACCGCATCGGTTGTTAATTGGTTCGCCGAGTCTGACAATTTCGTTGCAAACGTTTCGTCGCCAGTCGGCTTTACATCATTAGTGCCAAGTTGGCTATAGGACTGCTGAAAAAGCGTACAAGTAAAATCACGGAATGGACGCCACCAGTCAGCAGCGTGGCAAAGGAAGGCGGGGGCTGTCCATCCCGAGCGGCACGTGACAGGCGACGACATTTTAGCACAGTTGGTTGCTAGAAAACAAAAAAAATAAAGGACACAATTTCCTGATATACTGCTGTAATGGTTCTTACTGCATCTCACTTGCGCAACTGCGTAAGCTGTTACCTCATTCGTGACGGTGCGAGGCCATCCGATTTGTCTGATGTTGCAAACAATGGCAGTTTCCTCAAATTGCTTCAGCACGCCCAAAATACTACTCGTTAATGGGCCGCGTAACTTAGTGCATAGTGTTGTAACGTATACGGGGATACTTGAGGCGTAGGGTTTCTCGCACAAAACCCAACAGCTCGGATAAACTGAAAGAAAACATTGCCAACGAATGTGGCCATATCGCGTTTGAGGCATTGCTGAAAGTGGTTGCCAACACCATCAGGCGAATCCTAATCTGTACTTCGTGTATTATACCCATTTATACATTAGAAGAAGAGAAGTTGCTGATCTGCAAGCAAAACGACGGAGGGCACTTCAAACACCTAATCCATTGATATTTACAGACATTTCACACATTTCATGTAAACATAAGTAAATAAATAAATAAATGTATAAGCTCCATTGCACACGAGAAACACCATCGAAAACGTGCTCAGTTTGTACAACGAGCAAGTGTCTGATTATGAGGGTAATAGTTGTATTCATGACTAAGTGGGTGTGTTGTCTACTAGTGCCATTAGTGCGTCGGGGCAGAATGAAATCTAAGAGCATTATCCACAGCGAACAAAGCCGTAAACTTTGAATGTGCTCCTGGCAGTTTGGTGCCCCTTAGCAGCGAAAGCAGCCTAATAAAAGCATTCGGGTTTGTTGGAAGACAGTCATAAGGCCATAACGGCTTTTGTCGCGGTTGTTTTTGCCACATATTGCGATAGCAACCGGGGCCCATCGAATGGTCATTGCATAGGACCAGGCTGTTCTGCCCAATTGCTATCATAGTGAGCCACTAACCATTTCGCAGGGATCCCTTTTCCTGACTTGTTAACGTGCGGGAAAGCCGTCTGCCAGTCGATCGATTGCGGCTTTGGTGTTTGGTCAACATTCACTTCTCACAGCCGAACGACCTGGGTTCCATTGAGCTGCGCTGTGATCCAAGCATGACACGTCGATTGCGGTGTTGGTGTTTGGCCAACATTCACTTCTCACAGCTTACCGGCCTAGGTTCAGTTGGTCTGCACCGCGATCGTAGACGCACAGATCCCGCCTCTCTATCCCAAATTCACCCCTGTCATCCACGTTCGGAAAACCAAGCTTCGCCATTGGACAGTTGGCAATTCAGCGTGCCGGGGTAAGTCCGTACGTGAGTGCGGCCGCTCCAATTTTCGGTTATGATATCTAAAACTAGGTTTTGTTTTTACAGCACTGCCACCAATTGTTTAGTCTATCGTAATATGGATTATCTACGATATTACCTGCGCTTCCTTCTTGTTGGCTGGACTGATTTGATTGGCTGCAACAATAATACATTGACTCTGCATTCGGGTAAACGGAAGGCGATGGAACGGCAAAAATCTCCCCACTTTGGAACATTTCGCTTGCTGCCGGTCGACGTCGTTGCAGTCCCATAAATTACACCGTTAAATAGTCATTCAGAACGATGCGCGCTTAATGTTGTCGACGGCCTATGTAAGGCCTGACGCAGTTTATGATTGCGCCAATTTCTGGATTTTCTAGGTGCGATTTTGCGCGACAATGCTACACCCAACGCTGAATTGAGGATGTCATCTGATTCATGAAGCCAGTTTGCAACATAATTGTTGCGCTCGACAATAAAACGAATGTAAGCAACGTCAGTCCGTCAGTTCTTCGAAGAAAGCCATTTATGAGAGCGGAGGAAGAGTGGTCAAGTGCTCGTACTGTTCACACGGTTTCAGATGGTTATCTCTGGGTTCAGCTTTATGGCTTAACATTAACAACGGCCGCATATGTGACTGGGACATTGGGTATATAGTTCAATGGTAATTGATCACCGCTGAAAACTTCGATTAACTTCAGCCAATTTTGGTAACCCGGATTCGTGTGAGATTTCTTGCACCGTAAGGTGCAGCTCTATTCGAAGTCGCCAAAGTTGCATGGAAGTTCCATTTGTAGTCTTACTCTGTCTTGTCAGGTGTTTGAACCAAGGGCTTTGGTTGAGCGACATTATCGTGCTTCTGTCTAGACCCGGGCAACCTGAGAGCACCATGCCCACGCAATACATTGCAATGACTCTCACGAAATTTTTCGTAGTTCTTTGGCCATGTTAGCAGATAATCAACGGTGCACTCTCTAGAATGCCGAACAGGGTGGATAGGGAGGAGAAGGCTACTGCCCAGCCCTTCCTGTCTTCTTTTTCTCAGTATTGTGCTCCTTCAACTATAATTTGCATTCTAGTTATCAGCACATATTTCTTAGCCAAAACCCATTTTGTTTCAGTGGGCGCTGTCTTCTAGATTTAATTCACGTGCAATCACAAAGCATCACTCCGGTTCAGTCGATGTGTACATTTTCTAACAAACCACCCATGTCGGTCCACCTGTTTCTCTTTGTAACCCTCGAAGCGCAATAACACTATATTTTTTAACATGCGCACTTTGTTAGGGCTTACATCCATAGTCCAATTGAATTGCATACAAAGTATCTGACTGGCATCTGCAAGCCAATAGAACTTGGTCGTTAAAGCATTGGAATTGCATCCAGAGGCTTTGCTACGCACTATGCCCGTACTGTCGTGGAATCGAGCTAGGTCAACTCAGCCAATGACAGATGTAATATTGAGATAGTTCATCAAGATCCACACTCAATCAGCAGGCCACGGCAAGTCCGGAAAAGCAACAAACAGCGCAGTTTCGAAATTCTGGATCTCGTCAATGGTGCGCCTTCCATCGGGCCCCCGACGGGTTCGGCCCCCATGACTTCCGGATGCCAGCAGCTATTGTCACTAATCCAATATTGGCCTCCGCGGACCTGCATGATTGAACCTTGACGACGATATAGTCTGCCTCACGATCCACCCTCATGAGAGTAACGAACAAACCCTAAAAGCAACTAAAAAGTGGGTGTGTTGGGTCTGATTCGAAAACGGCCCTACCTGCATTTCGGAAAAATTGCCTAATCTGAAGACAGGTCTATGCAGCTTAGGGGAACAAGGTTGCCCAAACGCGTGATGCGACTGGAAATAAGTGGACTACCAGGTATGTACAAGTATGCCTTGCGAACGACACGAGTGGGGGGATGCGAACACCGTATCGCGACATCCAATTAGCCAGCTTATGCCTAGTTTTGCACTGGCGCAGCCCAAGGTTTTGAACAAACTACCAACGCTAGGGCATGCGACGGTACTGTGTCCGGTTAGCGAGGCAATCGCAGGTGAATGGCTGCGTATGCATGGGACGGTGTGACGGGCTTGTGAGTAGATCGACAAAAGGGGACCTGCGCAACCGAAATACCGTTGGAAGGTGGCCGCCTTGGGTTATAGAGAGTCGACTTGAGCTGCAGTCTGTTGAGAGGGCTAGTGCCGAAATATAACTATAGCCATTTGTTACAAGGCGAGTAGGTCCTGCTTTGTTACAACAGGCGTCGCTTACCCTCATGGTGGATGTAGTACACCGACTTGATGGTCCCTGAATCAAATGAGATACTGCGACCAGGCTGTCGAATTTTGCATCGACTTATCAGTACGCACATGCATGGGCGGACTGGTGCGGACCGAACGCAAAGGAAACTGACACGCAAGTCGGTGCGCTTCAAATGAATTCGTATCCCGTACCCAGTTTGGTGGTATGTTCACATATGGGAGTCACTCCATCATTGCTCGGTATCGTTGTCTGTCCATTGCACTGCCTCTTCTCCAGCAAAGGTACTTGGCCGACACAGCACATAGGCTAGCAACACCTCAGTTTCCTCCTACGGTAGTTGTAACTGCAAAGCTTACAATTCCGCGAGGTAGATACATCACAATATTCTACCTAACGCCCTGTGAACACGTAGTCCACCATCGCAGATGACAGTACAAAAGTATATAATGGGTCAGGTAGATAACACTTGACATGTCCCGTAGAATGGCCATAATGAAGAGAGAAAGATTAACAAATGAACGTATCAATAAAATGGAGTGTGACATGGTGATTTGGCAGATATATTTACATGGTAAAAGGTATACGTCCACTTGGGTGCAACTAATCGCTCGCCATAATTTGCATCTTCAGCACGAAGCGGGCAATTCGAGAACATAATTTTATACATGCAATCCCATTTATAATTCCAAATACGAACTTCAGAAGACCCAGGTCGTGCGATGACACTGTTAGGATGACCTACCAGTGCTCGGGCAGGTTCGGTG